TAACTTGTGGGACTTGATGTTAAGTCCAGGAATGCAGTCGTCAACTTGGACTGAACTGCAGGGCATTATGGTCCTGGAAGTGAACTAAAACACGGCTTAGGCGGCAAACCCTGCACGCTTGGTACCAGAAGTACACTCGAGAGCAGTGTTTTCTGTTAAGGATATGGTACAGGGCTTGTTCCTATCTGACAGCTGTCACTAGGGTGGAGGGACAGTCCTTCTGAACTGGTGCTGGGGAGATTCAGGACTCAAGCCTTCATGAGAAACCCCTTTAAAACAGAACAGAGTGGGGGATGGGGGAAGCGTTATCAGAATCATCATCAGCTAGTTGGGGCAGCTAGCAGGAGAGGGCGGTTTGTCTCCACCTGTGTTCTGAAATCAGTGCCCAGCCCAGGGCAAGGGCTTCAGGAGAAACCCAATTCTAAGAACGGTCCTGCAGTACAAAAGTGTGCTGACCCCTCGGACCTGGCTCCCACTCCACAAGAGAAGAGCTCCCTGCTTATTAAATTCTTCCTTTCTTCCTGGCTCCTTCTCCTCGGGCAGTGTTCCAGTTTCACCGTCTTCACTTTACACATTTAATTTCTTTTCTTTCTCTGGCCAGTTTAACTCTATAGTCGGCTCATTTCTCTCCATGCGTTCTTGCTACCCTTCCAGGTATTCAGTTCTTTCCCAGACTTTTAGTTCATTGTGGTAAGAACTTTAACATGGGATCCAATAGTTCAACAAACATTTACTGGCTTTAACTTTTTTTTTTCATATGATATATTTAGATCATATTCTTTCTCCTCCCCCAACTTCTATAGTCTGCCCATTTCCCTATCCATCCAAGCTCATGTTCTCTCTCTCCCCCAAAAAAAGCAACTCCCATATCAAAACAAGGAAAAACTTCCCCCAAAAACAACATAAACAGATGAAGTCTGAAGTCAGCCCTGTATTGGCCAACTACTTCTGAGCATGGACCCTCCCCTGGAGTGTGGCTTATATAGCCAGTGTGACTCCATTGAAGAAAACTGACTTGTCCTTTCCCAGGCGATATCTTCTTAGTTAGGGGTGGGACTAGGCGTCCAATTCCCTTTCTCAGTGCTGGGATTTTGTCTGGCTTGGACTTGCGCAGGTCTCACGCACACCATCACAGTCTCTGTGCAATCACAGGTACACTGGCCCTACTGGGGCTTGACAGACTCTAAAGCATAAACTACCCTGGATCTTGACTAGAGGTACAATGTCATACACAGTCCTCGAATGGTCTCATCCTTCATGAAGGAAATGTACACCTATGGATTCGTAACCCCCATTTCTACCTCCCCCAGCCACTAGTAACTACCGCCATTTCACTCTGTCCTCTGTGAATTTGACTGTTTCAGGAACCTAATATCAGAGTATCTGCTTTTCTGTGCCTGGCGCATTTCAGAGAGCTCAGTATCCCCAAAATTCATCCACGTACCACATTACAGGATGTCCTCCTTTCAAAATTTTAGCATTTATCTGTTTATTGTGAGTGTACACACATGCATGTGTGTGGGTACGCTCATCATGGCATGTGAGTGGAGGTCAAAGGGCAACTCTGTTCTCTACCATGGACTTTCCAGATATTGAACTCAAGTCATCAGGCTGGGTAGCACACAGATGTACTTGCTAAGCCATCTTGGCTATCCCATCCTTTTTAAAGGCAGTCCACTGCATGTATATACCATGTTTTCTTTAGTGTTTAGTTTTATGGGTTTTTTTGTTTGTTTGTTTTAAGATGACATGGCATGAACAGTCTTACTGTGTAGCACAGGCTGGTCTTAGTTTCTCGGGATCCACCCATCCTCCTGTTTTAGGTCCCCAAGGAGCTGACATTTCTGGCATGTTCCCGAGTACTTGCCACATACCGTGTTTTCTTTATCCATTCATCTGTCCACGGACATTCGGAGTGTTTCTATATCTTGGCTACTGTGAATGTCGCAGCAACAAACACAGAAGTACTGTGAACCCTTCGATACCCTTACTTCAAATATTAGTTCTGAAATTAATATTCAGAGGTGGAATTCCTTGGTGTATGGCGCTTTTAATGTTTTGGAGGGATTGCCACACTGCCTTCCTCCATGGCGGCAACAGTGTGTATGCCTACTGATAGTGCTGAACCTCCTGTTGCCTACACTGTCACCAACAGGTGTCTCTTGAAATCTTAGTCCTCAAATGACAATAGCTACCCTAGAAGGATAAAGTGATAACTCAGCGTGGTTTAGAATTGTATTTCTCGGAAGATAAACAATATAAATAGAGGTTCACAAACCTACGGCCTTTCTGTGTCTATTGGGGAGATGTTTCAAGTCCTTAACCCATTTTTAAATCATTCTCCTGTTGTTACTGCTCTCAAATTGTGGAACTCTTCCCACACTTTGCAGATGACCCCTTACCAGATATGCGATTAGCAAATATTTTCTCTTAACTGTATCTACCTCATCAGCCTGAGACTTCTCCAACACAGAGAGCTTTACAGTTGGGTGCCCGCCCTAATTGCTCTCACGGTGGCAGCCTGGCCTAATATAAAATGATTCCCATCTCTATCCTCGGAGGCAGGGCCTGCTGCCACCAAAGCCTTCTGAGAAGAGTTCTGGATGGCCTCCTTCTCTTCCGAGAGGCCTTTCAGGACAGCATTTCCTGTCAAAGTGCTGTTCTTTTGACTTTGCCCTCAACCTCTGGCTGCTCGCCTCCCTCTCCTTGCCGAGGACTGAAATGTAGTCCATTGACGTTTCTCTTCTGGTTGTGTTCCCAGCACACAGTTTTTCTCTTGGCCTCAGCGACAGCTTGCGTGCCCAGGAGTTCCAGTTCTGTCTAACACTGCTCCCCACGTCTTGTTCCTAGACTTTTAGTTTAAGATCCTAACTTTTTTGGAGCCCTCTAGGGATGTCTTAGGAGTGAGCACCTCTAGCTCAGAAGCACCATCACAGCTGGACTATTCTTATCTCTCATGAAGTCAAATTTGACACTTTCCACTCCCTCATGATGTACATTGCCATGAAGGTCGGCTGGTCCCCACTCTAAAATGTCTTTTGTATACAGCATCCCTGTTTGCTACATCACCACTGCTGCCACTGCCGCCACCGCCACCGCCACCACCATCACAACTACCTACTACAAACAGCCACCACCACCACCTACTATTACAACAACTGCCACCACAACCAGATGTGGGATTCTCCTTTGTATGCTGTGAATATGACTGGTTAATTAATAAAGAAAACTGGCTTGGCCTGATAGGGCAAAAGTAAAGAGCTAGACAGGGAAAACTAAAGTGAATGCTGGGAAAAAGAAGGGCAGAGTAAAGAAGGAGCCACGTAGCCTGGCCAGACACAAACACCAGAACTTTACCCCAGTGATACATTTTTAAAAGCTCCTTAGCATGTTAGTTGAAGCAAGGGTTCCAGATCTCTGGGACAAAGTTGTACATGGTTATCTGTGGGACATGGGACACAAACATGGTGGTCGGCACTTCTGTTTGTTCTGTAGGGTCTTCCTTCTGGAATGTGCTCAGAAAACATGTTTCCTCACGTCACTTAGGTGATACTGCCCTACTATAATTCAACGGCATGCTCTGATGTGATTTGTTTAGGTCTAGAAAAAGGAACTGATCATGTGACGTTTGCTAGTTCCCAGAAAGATACACTCTGCAGGCAGACACTAGTGTCTGCACCATGCTGTGAAAACGACAGCCTATGCATAAACATGACCACAAATCATCTGCAACGCTTTCTGGGGGGTGGGGGATGGGGGAGAACTCTGTCGATACACCATGAACCATGCTGGCTTGGCTACTTGTTTTGACCAATAGAAAATGTCAGAAGTGGTATTTTCTACTTCTAGAGCTGAGACCTTCCCCCCCATTGAATGCAGCTGCCATGATGCAATGCAAAGGAAGATACTGCAGCTTTCTGGACACCGGGGTACAGGATGACTGACGATCTTTATCAGTAGCTAATGTCCACCGTGAACCACACACCTATCGTGGCCTGCACCTAGCCGCACACGAGCCCTCCCAGCCCACGGCTGCTGTGAGCACGAGACTGAAGGTGCACCGCTGTGCAGCAACAGGCGCCTGACAGAGAGAGGATGCCGAGACGTGCAGGACTACTCTGAGAACTGTCTGCGACCTGACCAGACTCCTTGCGCTCCAGAGCCGGCCCTGTAGCAGCACGGAGAATGGCTTGGGGTGGCGCAATGTAGAGGTGACGGGACATACCAGACGACCACAGCAATAGAGGTGAGGGAAAAAAAAAATCCATCACCACACAGGGAATCCACAGGATGCTGAAGACAGGGTTAAGGGTAAAGGAGGAAACTAAGGACCACTTGGATGGTTCTGGGCAAGGTGAACAAGGGAATGACAGCACCATTCACCAGGAGAGAGATTATGAGAGGAAGAGGAGGGTTGCCATAACTGTGAGACACCCAACAATAGATGTTGGAAAGTAACTTAGTGGGACCACTCTAGGTGGGCAGCCAAGTGTTCTGATTGGAGGGGCCATCTTGATACAGCGCATATGGTACAGCGAGAGCTTCCCAGGCAGGTAGAGTTTGAGTAGTGTGAACACCTTTTGCCACTTCATCAGAACGGAAAAGGGTTAAGAACGGATGTAGTTCCAATGCTGCATAACGCTTAGGTTGCGTGCAATAGCCTGTGAGTCTTACAGCACACTGGCAGCGCATGGTGTTCCCTAGCAACGTCACTACCACTTAGTAGTGTATCCACACTGTGTATCCAGGGTACAGGTTCTCCTCCTTCCTCCCTGCCCTCCCCCGCTGCCTCATTTTGTTCTGTATGTTCTTCATATGCCTCCCATCCAGCAGAGCAGCAAGTGGTTCTAACACTAGAAAGAATGGAGATTACAGGCTACACAACACTCGAGATTATCTCCAAGCTACCCTTTCTCCAAGTGGGCACAAACAACGATTCACCCACGTCACAAGTCACACAAGCAACCAACATTAATACTCACATACAAATATTGACGTACCTTTGCTGTTGATTAAAATAGCAAGTAAATGGCTGGGAGCCGATCTCATCTTTCCAGTACTGTTGCCAGTTCATGACACTTTCCAAATTCTTCTGGTTTTCTCTCGTACAGGGCGGGATATAGGAGCACTAACAGGACAGAACACAGAAAGCCAACCTATTAGTATACAGAATGGCCTATGGGATCCTTCTGGTTCTCAAATACTTCATTTTATTATAGTCCGTGGCTTGGGACTGATGAGAAGGTACAGGTTCAGGGGCCGCCATTGCCTGGGTCAGCATGAATACCCGTCCCAGTGGCTGTGAAGTTGTCACTACCATGTATCGCCATTTTCCCCGTCACTCTGGAGCCACCGTTTTGATCTCAAGACAGGAAAAGGTTCTGAACACTATAGAAGACAACATGCTCGTGCCCAAACGATCACAAAGCCATCTGAAAGCGGCTGAAGGCCCTTGGCTAGGACCATCCCAGGGACCCGCAATCATTATTTTTCTACAGAAATGGGAATGTTAGATAACAAATCTAATTTTGACACAGTCTTTAAATACAACCAAACTGACACTGCTTTTCAAATTTCTAATTTGGCACAAGGGCCAAAAAAAAAATTCAGTAGCAAAATTACCTTCAGTCATTAAAAAAATGAGACAATTAGAAGTGAAATACACCTTCTCTGCCTTTGCAAAGATCTGTCAACACAAGAAGGCGAGGGGAGGGGTAACAATTAGTATTCCTAATCCCTATCTGTGAGTCTTTACATTTTCTTCCTCTACTTTAACTAACCAATAGCTCACAGCCACTCTTGGGGTGCTACTTTTCCGACTGAAGTTTTCATTTCTCACATTCTCCTGGATGATGGAACCAGCAGAGATTCCTCTCAAGTGTGCAATCAATGTCCTCTGCTAACCGATGGCTTTCCTAGCCGTTCCCGTGAAGAGACTTGAGGAAGCGGTATAGATTCAGCAACACTGAGGAGCCGCTCTTAGCTCCGGCTGTTAAAGCGAGCCCTGAGCATCCTAAACCACTTCTCCCACTTCAGTCGCTTTTGATGGTGAAGATGGCGGCTTCTACCCAGGGTTAATAACAGGCAAAGGTCCAATGGGCCTGAACCTGCGTGCTTCTTATACGTCTCTCATGATCTCCATTGTACAGATGAGAACATTAAGATTCCTCTCAGCCCTGCGACTAGACTCAGCGATACCATTACTCTCTTCTGAGGTGTTAACCAAGGTGTCTGATAATAAGGAACCAAAGACAAGAACTCAACTTTGCAGTCTAATTTGGTTCACACTGACCTATTCATTCATTCTCTTATTTGTTTATTGTTATGGGTTCTGTTCATACTGTGCTTGTGTGTGCAGCCGCATGCATGTACATATGTGTGAAGGTGACCTTCGTTGGGTGCCATCCACTTTGTATTTGAGTGAGTTTCTCTCCGGTTTGCAATTTGGCCAAACAGCCTAGGGCAGCTGGCCAGAAAGCCCAGATTCAGCTCTCGCCACCTCCGATCTCACTATAACTGGGATTATAACAGTGTACCACCAGGTCCAGATTTTAACAAAGGCTCTGGAGACCCAAACTTCTGTCCTCATACTTTACTGACCGAACCATCTTCCCCGACTCCCCCACCCTTTGTCTTTGTGAGACAGGATCTTGCTATGTAGCTCTGACGGGCAGGGAACTCACTCAAGGGCTAGGATGACAGGTATGTGCCACCAAACCTGGCTCAACTGTTTCATTTGCAGCATGTCAAATTCACAAGAAAAAGACTTTCTCCCCATCGCTCTCTGTTAAAATGCAAAACCGTGTTGATGATGTGCGCAGCTCTTCACTCTCCTCCTGCCTGCCCATCCTTGCGGAATCCTGGGAGACGGCCAAGTCGAAGCGCTTGGTCCTCAGCTCCGCCACAGCTGTCACAGTATCTATGCGGCACAGACTGTTACCTCCTGGTAGTGCTCTCTGTCCTTAGTCGCCTCTTTCTGAGAGTCAGCTCTCGTGTTACCCATCTGTAGGAATCTTCCTGTTCTTGTTCCAAACCAAATGTGTGGACCCAGGAATCAAACCAAGGGACTCACAGCTAAAATCACATAGCAGCACACTTGTCTGCCAGTGTCAGGGCTCTATCTCTGGCTGCTGAGTTGAGAGCAAGAGCTCTCTCTCTCTCTCTCTCTCTCTCTCTCTCTCTCTCTCTCTCTCTCTCTCTCTCTCTCTCTCCCTCTCTCCCTCTCTCCCCTTCTCCCTCTCCCTCTCCCTCTATCTCTCTCTCTGTCTCTGCTCTCTCTCCTGTATGTTCACCTTGGTCCTGGTGATGATTTTAAAACAAGTCTAGAACATACGAAGACACGTTTCACTCAAGATAATGAAGTTTATCTTGAGTAAACTTTCCTCAGGACACTGCTTTCCCATGTTAGACATTTTAAACTATAAATGCACATGTATTTTAAATTGTAGTAAATTTCATTATTCCCCATGCTACATAACAAACTCGTGTTACATAAATAGGTTTTTAACCACCGAATAGCTGAATACGAACCCCATGGACACACAGCTTCCCTCTCTTTCCAAGGGAACAGCACAGTTTTGTGGCAGAGTCTGGATTATGAGTTTTTCTAAAGCTTCAGTTGAGCTTCAAAGCCACAGGAACAGCATGTGGCTTCCGTCTTATGATTTGTTTGGTGTTTGGTCTTGGGTAAATTACCTTTCTCTGGGCTCCTGTTTTTTAGTTGTTTTTTTTTTTTCTTTTCTCTAGTCTGTACAACCTCCAAAATAATTTTTAGCTCTGCTTCTGCCTCTCCTCTTGGAGGCACATCAAGAAACAACCCAGCCAGAAGCAGACTACAAATACTGTCAAAGCATTTTTCCTCCAGAAGTGATCCTGCCTCTGGGGAGATGGCAGGGAGACTTGGCTGAGCCACTGTTGCTGCGGACAAAGAGGACCAAAGAGGACCAGAGCGATGGGTGGGTGGGTCCAGCTCTGGACTGGTACTTTCTTTACATTAGCAAGACCATGAGCTGCCCACCCATGACTCCACACAGTGTGTTGTGTATTTCCTCTCCTTCCATTAACACATCTTTCTACCCATGGTCAAAGTGAGACGAGGTGCCATTTTATTGTGCTCTTTCCAGGAAGGAGAACGTTCCAGTCCTGGAGGCAGATCTGTGAGGTGCAAACATCTCAGAAGTCACCAGGACCCTTCCAGGATTGGGTGTCATTGGCACAGGGCCACACCAAACATGTCAGGGGACAACCAAATGCAGTCAGAACACATTGAAGCTATTCATAACATAACTCAGCTCGAATTCTTTACTGTTTTTGGAGCAAAACAGGTTTAAAAGACATATCTCTCTACCAGATGGCAACTCCGGGATTTGATCCGGGGGAATCACACCCGTGTTTCTGGAAACATCAGAGGAAAACGTTCATCAAGGTCCCTAATGGGCAAGCTGTGGTGCGAGAGAAGTGCCTGGCTGTAGGGAGCTTTTGGCGGGATTTAAAAGCAAACTATATTTCTGTATCAGGAAAAATAACCATGAGATTCTTTCCCCATGGACTCCGTTCTTTCCACTGGTTAAATAATGAGTCTTTAGCATTGTAGCAATTTGGTAAAGTCAGTATCATTATGAAAGCAAGGAAAACATTTAAAAGACTAAACTTGGGTTCTTAATAATCATTATTTTTCTCAAATCTTGGCGGCCCAGATTATTTACCTCTAATGTCTTGTGAATTATCTTGGATCCTTCTAGAGCCCTTTTCAGTTCTATATACAAGATCATTATGGATGGATAGAATTTTAAAGTCCATTAAAAACAAAGACTTAAAGCAGTGTTTTCAAAGAGGATTCTAGAAAAGCTGTTATACAAAATCCCTTCTCTCTCAATCATGCCAACTGGGTGGTTTTTCTAACACTTCACAGCTCTGACCTGACTATTTCTTTGGGGAGGAATCATAAATGCACAAACCCACTGCTTAGCATTCCCAACCTCGTGGACAACGCCACTGGCAATGTCAGCATTAGAATCTCATCTCCAGAATACCGAAGGGAAACTTAAGGGTAGTGAGATGGCTCAGCAGATAAAAGGGGCTTGCTGTGAAGCCTGATGACCTGAGTTCGATTCCCCAAAGCTCACATAAAGGTGGGACAAAAGAACCAACTCCGTATGTTGTCCTCTGACCACAAGTAGGCCATAGCATACACACGCCTGTGCCTACTTTCACCCCACCCAACATAAACAGTGTTTTACAAATGAAAAAGAACAGGAATGTTAGATTGAGAGATCTAAGACAGCTTGTTCAAGGCCACAGTGATAAATGGGGCTTTTTGTGTAATAAGTACAGTTATTTTTTGTTGTTTTTGTTCCGTTTTGGGGTTGTTTATTTTGATTTTGAGACCAGGTCTCACTCTGAATTGGAACACCCTAAGTGGCAATGAGTAGCCTCAAACTTACTCTGGGTTGAAGATATCCTTGACCTTCTTGTCCTCCTGCCCTGCCTCCCAAATGCTGGAACGGCAGGAGTATGTCATCACCCCTGGCATATAGAGTATGAATCCCCCCACACGTCCTCCTTTTTCTGCCCGTCTAGCTTCCCAGATCTCCCTTTGGAGCTTTTGAATTTGGGACTAAGGAGATGCCCCATTCGAGCACCGTGTCTTAGAAAACCAATGTCACCTCTCTGGAATTCTTGTACTCCTCCCAAGGGCTGGTGATGAGACAGTCTGCTGCACAGGTTTGTTACCCTGGTCAGAGAAAGGCAATTCTAAGTCTTCCTCCCACCTCATTTGGCTCAGGATCAGTTTCTAGTGGTAGTTATAATTGTCTGTAGGTGAACCGTTAGATACAATGTCTTTGGTGGCGGAAGGCAATAGGATTCCCTTAGAGAAACTTCTTCCCTGTGATCCCGAACTATTTGGTTTCTGATTTCGCAAAGGCAGCATTTCCCACCTTCTAACGCCATTACCACCCAAGGAACCTGCCCACATTCGGATCCTCATTCCTGGCACCTGAAATGGGATGGGATTCTTTTCTTTAGAAAGGTAGAAAAGAAGGGAAGAAAGGGAGGCACACATTCCCAAAGGCAGTGATGGCACATATATAAAGTGTGAAAAAAAAAACAAAAACAAAAACAAAAAAC